TGCCTATTTCTCGTTGTTCGCTTTGTGTTGCCGCAGTATTCGCCACATTTTCTTTCGAATATCGCCAATTTGTTTTGAATGACTTTCAACACACTGATAATGAGATGCCACTTGGTTTTCAAAACTCAACAAATTGAATAAGTGGCAGCCTTGCATAGTACAGGGTTCCATTCCTTGTATCTGTTTTAATTCAACGCGAATTTATACAAGGTGGTGTTACTGGCGAATTTAGATTTTCGCCACGGTATTTCTTAATGTCAAAATGATGTGTTTGTTGTAATATGAATTCGCCTTGTTTACAACAAACACATCATTTTGACATTAGGAAGTACCGCGGCGCAAATCTAAATTCGCCATCAACACCACCTTGTATAAATTCGCCTTGATCTAATTCAAGGCGAATTTATACAAGGTGGTGTTGTAAAATCAGCTGATTTCTTCGCCTTACATGTGTTTTGTTTTTGCTTTTACTGATTTGATCAAAAGCAAAAACAAAATAAATTAGCCAGTAACACCACCGCCGTATAAATTCGCCTTGATCTAATTCTTCCAAAAATGTATTTTCTCAAGCACGTCTATATCATCCATATGTATGTGCCCATAATTTTGAAAGTCGTCTAAAGCAGGGTTCATACGATTTGCACCTTTGTATATTTTGGCAGCTGCAGAGTGGTGTTTTCAAGAAATTCGTATCGAAAATGAGTGCAGGCTCAATAAATAAAAGACCCACTCTGTAAATGTCGAAATGTACAAATGAACATATAAATTCGCCAGTAACACCACCATGTATAAATTCGTCTTGGTTGGAGCTGTTGATTGCTTATTGTTTTCTGTTCTCTTTCACATCTTTCGTATGAAATTTTTGACAGTCAAAATACATGTACAATTTGTTATTGTCGTACCGATACCACCGTATTGAATACGCCTTGGTTGTTTCCCATTTAAGAAAGAACCAAAAACTTGAATTCAACAGAATTGAAGCGTGTAAAAGCAAATAGAAAACCCAAAAGAGAATGAACGAGAATTGCTTTCAAGTACTTGAATCATGTAAGCCGGGTGTTATTACATATACAAGAAATACCGGTTACTTGTAACCGAATGCCTGTGTCAATCAGTACTTTCGCTGGAAAACGAACGAAATGTAAACAAAACCAAGAATGATGCCTGCGGGTGATGACGTCACGTTCACAACGAATGAGGGAGATGAAGGAGAGATAAAATAGCGGCGGCGCACTTATAATTATTATAAAGACTTTTACAACATAAGTCTTAAAATAAAAGTCTTTGAAGGCTTAAAAAAAATTATCTCTCTGATAATTATTATGAAAGGACGTTTATAATATAAGTCTTTGAATAATAATTATAGATGACTCGAAAAATTTTTATCATCTATGTATACCTATCTATATATATAAAATATATATATAAAAATGGTGTGAAAAATTTATAGTAATTCATCGATTGAGAACGGTTGGGCCGATTTGGCTAAATTTTTTGTTTAGTTGTTCGTAATTGCCAGGAGAAGGTTTTTACGAAAGAAAATTTTGGGAAAACCTTCCGGGAAAGTCGGGAATTGGAAAAATCGAAAATTGATATTTTTGTATGGAATTTTTCGTGCAAATCTATCGGAATGGCTTTCGAATGGAAAAATAGAGAATTCTAACTAGAAAACTCGGAAAAATTCGAAAGAACGCGAAAAATTTGAACTTTTTTTCAACTAAATTTTGCATTTTGTCGGATGATCTAATGATTTTGGACGATGTAAAGGTGGAAAATCCGTTGTGAAGCTTGGAAAATTTCGGATCATTGTGAAATTCATTGAAATTTCCTCCTATGTTTCATAACCGATTCGAAAGGTGGTTAGAAGGAGAAGTGCACAAAGTTTTAATTTTCCGATTGGGGGCGCAGGGGGTGAGCTACGCTAAGAGCTACGTACGTAGGTAGCCTTTCGCCTAGATTAGCATATAGGATTCACTTTTTCCGTTAAGTTGGCCAGTGACCGATCTATTCGAAAGTCTTATTCATGGTCCGATTTGCTTGAAATTTGGCACGTGGGTAGCTTATTGCCTAAGTTAACATATAGGATATTTTTTCTGATAGGTGGACCAGATACCGATCTATTGGAAAAAAATCGTATTATGGTGCGACTTGCTTGAAATTTGGCATGCCAGGATAAACATATAGGATACTTTATCTGATAGGTGGACCAGGGACCGATCTATTCCAAAAAATCTTATTTATGGCCCGATTTGCTTATTATTCTACAGTTCGAAAGGTGTTTGAAGGCACCGCAAACATGTGGGTATTGGCTATTTAGCAATATTTACTACACAGGCCAACAAATATATAAAAAAAAATTCAATGCAGTAAATGTAAACACTATTTTTGGCGTAAACTTTCCATCAGCCCCAGATTTCAAGAAAAACGAGGTCAAAGTGTGAAAAAATCGCGGTTTTTGCAATATTTGAGAAGCTTTAGCAAAGAAACAAACGGTGGTAGAACCTCCCACTTAGACTTAGATTTAAGCGAAAAATCTCGACTACTATCCCTGCAAAAACTGATTTTGGGAAGTTTGAGTACCTACCGCAATTAAGCAAAAGGTGTCATTATTCCTCCATCGATCCCTGAATCCCTGAAAATACCATTCCTGCACCTTGACCCTAAGGTCACCTATAGCCATTTATTGAACAGTTCACTGACTTTTACACCCCTTTTTCAATTGCATAATTTTCCAGTATTTTTTTTTATTGTTGGACAATAAAAAGTAAATGAGTATAGGTGACCATCAGGGCAAGGTGCAGGAAACGTACTTTCAGGGATAGTAGTCTGTAGTTCTAGCTTTAATTTAATTTTCTCAAAATATGGAGCTGATGGAAACTTTATACTTACGGATTCTTAATCAGCACAAGAAATCCTATCAAAAACAGCATTAACATTTGCTGCATTAAAATCGGTGTTGCCCAGTGAGTGTTACCTATACTAATTATATAAAGAGATGCTCTTTCTTTTTATAAGAGGTGATCTCGCGAGCGGCTGTAACGATTTTTTGAAATTTTGGACACCTACTGCAGACTTTCGATATATTAAGGGAGCGTGGCATCACCCATACATATCGAACTTTTCATACCGTATAACTCTGGAAGTATTTGTGGTAGTGTCCTGGAAATTGGTATAGAGATTTTGGGGCTACTGGAAAAGGGGGCGTGGCGCTTTCCAAACATATTGAGAATTTTACATATCTGCAATTATATAAACCTAGAATATAGTCAGCCTTATCGTGAGTTTCATTTACACCGAA